TTACGGAGTAGTGGAGTATTAATTGCTCCTAATTCTCTTTGGTGAGTTGGTGCGAATAAGTTCATGTGCATTAATGATCAAAATTCCAATTTTATAATTGTATTTAATTTTTTTGTTTTCGTCTCAATTTTTTGAAAGGAAAATGCATACTCCCTCCGTCCCCGAAAGAAGTTCTCCTTGTGCATAGTGCATATTTGGTCAACGAGTGTGATGCCAAAGTTTAAGTGTGGGGGAGTGAATTGGGCATTCGGCAGTAGTTGTTATGCGGGATTATTAGAGTTAGCATGCGCATGTGTTAGTTATATATTCATAGAAAATTCATGTCAAAATTTTGAATTTTTTTTCTTTAAACTGTGTCTTTGTGAGCTGGCTAGCGTTTTGACTATTCTTTTCGAACATCTTTGAAGTGTTTAGGCATAAAGTGTTGCGCTATAATCTAGTTGTTGAGAGGATGAAGGCATTAGTCACCCATTGAATTCATAAATCTTCCATTTTACCTGAATAAGTCCTTTAGGAGAAGCCACTTTGAACCTGACAATTCTGTTCTTTACCCGATTAATTGAGCTCCATAGCCAAATGACGTGTGTTTCCTTACCCGTGAATAATTCTGACAAAGTCTTGGTGTTTAGGGAACTAGAGGATTAATTGCTTAGTTTAGGGAGTTTCAGTAGGAGCCATTTTTGGCACTGTTCATATGCTCCAAATAAGGTAAGAACAGTCACTTTTTAGGAATTTGATATTTTCGAGGATTGCATTGTAGACATGGATTCACCTGTTTAAATGAACTTTAATTGCTAATTTTCTTTGGTAAGACCGAGATTAGAATGGGGTAATTTCTAGTGAAAATCTGGGAAACAAATTGAAAAAATTAATAATAGTTAGACCTCTAACCTTGCGAAAAAGAGAATGGGAAACCCGGTCAAAAAGCGTAAGTGTTTTGCACAATAAGATGAGACTCGAGGATCTTTCGAAAGAAATGGCGTTCTCGTGCCAAAATGACAAGGAAAACTAAACTGAATTAATTGAACTTGGAGGATTTTGCAAAATTAGCATTAGTCCCTCGCGTACTCCAAGTATACGTCAAAGCACCAATGTGCAACGACAGTTTAGTTTAGTTGTACATCATGTCTACTTTTTGCATAGGTTTAGATGATTGTTCCTAATTTGTGTCATACTGAACTCTTTGATCCTAATAATAGCTCTGAAATTCCTGAATGCATTGAGTCTTTGTTAAGGTGCTCAAAACTCTCAAAGAAATAGATTGTTTATTCTTTAACATTCACCATCGCCTTCACAAGTCCTTCTGATCAGTTGCTAGTTTATTAGTATATGCGGTCATTACTTTGAGCATGCATGTTGTGAATAATTTGGTCATTAATTTTAGCTAGAGTACAAAGATGTAGTTTAGGAAAAAAAATCTTGGTTTTGTCTGTTTGTTCAGTGAGCATCCATGTAACTACCTGTGCATGCTGATAATTTTGATTTTGTGTGGTAATTATTGTAAGTCCTGTTGTTCAGTTTCCTTGAGGACAAGTCCGTATTTCAACACGCATTATTCTAATTATGCTAATATAAGTCCGTATTTCAACACGCATTTGATGCGTGTTGGGATCGGTTTTTGATGGTTTCCTAACTTTAAGACGTCATAAGTCTAAATTTTAGGTCAAGTTATGTTTACCGGACGTTGGTTCGAGTTTTGTATTGTTTGTAGTCAAAATCAGGAAATTAGAGTCTGGCACCGGCGCTTGAGAAGCAATCGGGATGGGTTGATGAGCATTCGAGGGTGATTTGATAGTTTTGGAGGGCTCCGGGAGATTCACGATGAAGAATAAATGACAAATGAGCTATTGGATTGATCACGGGGCCAAACGGGGACTTAAAATAAGAAACTGAAGAATTTGAAGAAATAAGGCTACGCACAGCCGTGCGTACAGGGACCCATGTCATGCGTGCATGACAGAAGCGACCAGGCGAGATGATGTTTGATGCACGGTCGTGCGTCCAAGGAGGAAATTCGATGGGGCTAGTGCTAGCCACGCACGGGCATGCGTGGGGGGACGCACACCATGCGTGGAAGTTTTTAGCGCGCGGATGAATCAGACGCGTGGACGCCACACACGCCGTGCGTGGGCGCCGTACGTACCTTCTGCAATCCTTTTCCAGTCCAAATTCCCCCGTTTTCTATAAATAAGGCGTCCAACCTCGATTTGGGGTTACGGAATTTAGAGAGAGGCCTAGGGACAGGTTTTTACGTATTTTTCCGCATTGTTTTTTAAGACCCTGAGATTATTTGTAAATTCCTACTTTTTAATTAATGACAATTTTTTATATTCATCCCAATTCTGTTAATTTATCAATTGTGAGTTGTGAGTAGTTTAATGATGATGTATGACTTGTTTCTTGATGGATTAATTGCATGAATGTTGTTTAATTTGTGTTTGAATAATTTAATTGATATCTCCTATAACCTAGACTGCAGCTAGAATTACAATTGCTTATAAAATAAATTAAGAGATATCTAATTTATTCTAAGACACTTTCACACACAATTAATCGTTCGCTAAGAGATTAGTAACGATTAAGGGGTCATAAGCTCGATCATCTTGACAATAATTTAGAAACATGTCGCATGAGAGATCAGTCTGGTCCCCTAAGAACTTAGTAATAATTAGCTAGACTCGATTAAATTAATTTCATATAATTAACCTAATCTGTCAAAAATCTGATTACCCCGAAATTAATTCTTGTTGTCTTCATCATTAATTAAGAAACCAAATTTTTTATTCTTTTGCTTGCAATTTAATTTTCCAATCAATCAAATCTTGCACAATTGTTTTGATTTTATTTCCTTTTAATCGTTGAATTTAGTTAATTCTTATTTTCCTTTTGTTCATCCTAGTGAAGACGATACTCGTACTTTCACCATTATATTTATAGGTATTACCAAGAAAAATTAATAGGTAATACCAAGAAAAATTCAATTGAGCTTGTGTAATGTCTAATAGAGTAGCACTAGGGATGGCAATGGGGCGGGCGGGTTTGGGGTGGGGGTACACTCCCTCATCCCCGCCCCATGTCTAAAAAGTTCCCCCCATCCCCGCCCCATCCCCCGTTACTCCCCGACCCGCCCCATTGCCCCCCATGGGTGCCCGCGGGTGCCCCCATATAGATTTAATTTATCGTATTTACATATACTTTTAATCCATTATAAATATATATGGTGCGGTTCCAATGTGAACGGTGTTTAACGTGAGAACGTGAGAATACTCGCATTTAATCCAATGTGATACACAATAGAACCCTTCTAGACTCTAGTGCACATCTGGACTTTGCTTAATACAAAATAATGTAAATAGAGATAATCACGGTGGCACTTTTGTAAATATTATGGTTGATGCGAAAAAGTGCATTGGGGTAAATGTGGTATTCCCATGTTCTCATGTTAAGCATTGTTCTCATTTGATCTTAAAATCTATATATATCTACACACACATATGCAACAGTGAAGTATTGTGTTTGTTAAAAGTTAATACCACCAATTTTACTAATTCTTCAATTTGGATAAGTTTTGTGAATTGAAGCGAGTTAAAGTAAAAATATAAGTGAACACATTATCATCAAGCATGTACGTGGTTCCAAAATTCTCAACCATTTAATACAATTAATTACATGTTACATATAAATTTGGGTGTGTGTTTACCCACTTTCTCACTCTTAAAACTCATAACATTTACGATAAATATTTTTAATCATTACTAGTTTATTATTATTATTATTATTCTAGTATAATATGTATTAATTCATTAACCATGACTAAAACGTACTTCGTATACAATGATGTATGTCTATTTGTATATGTATATGCATTTGTTATATACTCCGTACTACATTAGTATCATTTAATTTAGTATGTTTGTACATTATTTATATATATGTGTATATATATGTTCAACAATGCTTGATGTACCTACTTTTATACCTACCTTATACCCACCATGTTTGTAGAAGTTTTTTTATCTGTGAACCCGGGTTCACAGATAATATTATGTCTGTGCAAAATATTGTCTGTGAGTCGGCCAGTCGGGGTTCACAAACAAAAAAAACACTTCACAAACATAGGTGTATACAAAAGTGGGTATAAGAGTGAGTACAAAGATCATTTTTGATATATGTTTGAGTATATATTTATAACAGGGACGGGGCAGGGATGGGGTGGGTGTAGCAATTCCCGTCCCCCACCCCATATTTTAACAAGGTAAAAATATCTCACCCATCCCCGCTCCGCCCCACCCCAAGCCCCGCCCCATCCTTCCCCCACGGGGCAGTTCCCCACGAGTCCCCGCCCCCATTGCCATCCTTAAGTAGCACCAATTAATCAGGACTCAAGAGTATTAGGTAATACCAAGAAAAATTATTTTGAACTTTTGTAATATCCAATGTTCTAAAAGGCGCTAAGCGCTAGTCGGTCGCCAGCCCAGCGCCTAGGCGGCTAAGCGGGCGCCTAGGCGGGGACTAGTCGGAGACATAGAAATTGCATTTTTATCTACATTTTTGTATAAATATGGTAAGTAATATTGTATTTTGTGTGTATAAAACATATACGTATACATTAACAAACATAAAAGATAGAATTATCACATCTAATCATACGTAGTATATGATTACTAATCACTTAACTTCATTATGTTATAAATATAAATAATGATTAAATTTAGATATACGGAGTATATACAAACATGTATAGTTTTATCTTAATTTACAACTTCATTTCCTTATATCCATGACTAAAGTTAAAGTACGTATATCGTTTGAAATTAAAAAGTAAAGTAATGTTCGGCGAATCTAGACGGCCTAGGCGGCCGATTAGGCGCTCTAGGCGGGCAACTAGGCGCCATAGGCGGCCGACCAATTAGTTGGACCGCCTAGACAAAAATCGGGGCACCCGGCCACCGCCTAGGCGGGGACTAGTCGAGCGCCTAGAACGATTTTTAGAACAGAGGTAATATCTAAAAGAGCAGCACTAATGAATGCGGAGTAGACATTAAGATATCCATAAGTACACCAAATTCACCAAAATATCGATGATTGATTAGCCAAACTTGAAAAAAAAGTAATTGAGGTTCTAGCAAATAAAAACTTTCATGACACAAGCAGAGCAACAAAAACTGCAAGATAGTATTTTTAGCATTAACGGTATCGTCTGAGGGAAAGAGTCTGGTTCCTCTTCCAGGTGGCTCTTCTTGAAGGCCGGTTCTTGTGATACCTGTGTCCCTTCCCATTGAGCCCCCTGTTCTTCTTCCCAGCTGAGGTCAATCCTCGAAGCTCTCTGTGCTTGTGAACAGGATTGCATAGCCAATTGATCCTAGGATCATTACGGATTGCCGCATGGGCAGTGTCAACCAAGATTACCTCAAAGTACTTGTAGGTAGAATCCTGCATCAAGAAATGTTGTTTATTTAAAGCTCAAATGGAATATAATTACTTGTAATATTATAAAGGAATGGGAGATGGATTAAATATGCCCCTGAAATTGATGCAATAGAACAAATATGGCCTTCACAGTTAAATATGTTCCAACTTAACAATGATTATAAATTTTTCTAACAAAAAAAGGCTGAAGGGCTTATGTGTTCTTTAATGTATTGCTTAAGGATATACTTGCTCTTTATCCCATAAATCAAATGGAGATACCTCTGGGTTACATGTTTATACTTGCTCTTTATCCCATAAAAGAAATGTATAGCATTACTATTTTTTATTTATAAACAAGAGTGAAGTGATACCATCCTGAAACTCCATTTCAATATACCAGTAAGTGTACTGATGTCAGTACTCCCCTCTTAGTTAGGAAAAAACATAATACTCGTATTTTTGGGGGGGGGGGGATTGTTTCACTCCTAATTAGGATAATCTCTGCTGAATGTGGGCAACTGACCTCATTAATCCAGTATGAATTGAGTACTCGAAGGCCACCCAATTTTCGGCCAGCACGCTCTTCAGCAACTGAGCGCTTGCTACGCTGAAACTTCAGCTGAGTAACTCCCTGGTTCGTGGGTTTTCCATAAACAATACCCTTAGGTACAGGTCTCTTTCTTCCCCCACGTCTCACACGCACACGATAGACGACATACCCCTGGAATATAAAAAAAGTTTGGTTATCACATTTAATTCAAACAATAATACCAAGAAGAAAATCATGGTAGATACTCCTTTAAGGATAGAACTGCACAGAACAACACAATAGCATTTGACTGTTAAGCAACTTCAAGGACATAATCAAACTAAAAGCCATGCATTTAACGGAAGAGTATTCTGTAGAAAGCCTCAAACAAAAGTCCTTCGCTCAGCAAATATACACTGAAATTCAAGGGTCACGGACAATAAGATGTAATTTGGTCAATTCATGAAATTAATGGGAATAGCAAAAAAAGTCAACCATAAACTAATGCAGGGAAGTAAAGTGCACATAATTCAAATCGGAAATTTGAGAATACCATAGAGCATATCAAGTGAAAGTCAGATGGTTGTCAAAAAAATGACAAGAATCAGAAATCAAAGCCCACCAAAGTAATACTTTTATCAAACCCAAGAAGAAAACATACACAAGAAACATAAAAATCTACAAGAAATAGATTATAAAACGGCAAGTGATTTCTAGCCACAAGTTCCAATTTGTGCTATTTCTTCACAGATGCTGAACTGAAGGGTGTCTATGTTTAGAGCAAGAATAAAAAGTATTATTGAATGGGGAAAGTGTAACAAAAGGAGGAGCAATGAGTCACGAATTAAATGCCACGGGAGAACAAGGCAAAGAGCATATAGCTACAAAATGACTATGCAAATTTGCAAGTCTTTTAAGGAGAACAATGAGAAGCGAAAAATCAAGTAAATGGACCTAAAGCATGTGAAAAACCCAAATCAAGCAACACAAACTGACTCGGAACAAAAATGAAAAGATTAACAGATGCATCAAAATTCAGCTAATAGCACCAAACATAGTCATATATAAAATGCATAACGATGAAACCGTATATCAATCGCATTATAACAGAATAGAATAAAAAGTTGAAAAAGAACATACCTGTTTAGACTTGTAGCCAAGCCGGCGAGCCTTGTCGGGACGAGTGGGCCTAGTGACGCGAACAATTGAAGGAAGTTGGCGGTACTCCCAGCACCTCACCCTCAGAAGGAACCTCATTACATCGGATTGCTTCTTTCTCCATAGCTCCGACACATAGGTGTATGCACCTGAAATTTTTTGTATCAGAACAAAATAGTCAACTGAAATGCAGATGCATTCCTCAAAACTAAATAGAAACAAAGTGAATTCCACAAATACGACATACCCATCGTCAATGAGAAGACAACTACTTCTGCTTCGATGAGCTTAGCCGAGTGAAGATATAGGCGAGAAGGATTGGAGGCTCGCTATAGGAGATTCGGAGAAGATCGCTCCCCAACCCTAGACCACGATAATATAGCGTAGGGATTTGAGTAATTTGGGCTTTGGGCCGACGATTGGGCCGAAATAGACAATATTTATGATGAGTACGGTATAAAAATGTCTCACTTTGGTCATTTGGGCCTATGTTTAAAAAACCGGACCGAGGAGCGACCCGGTCGCATGACTGGGTCACAGGTCAACCCAGATCCGGTGGGTCGACCCAGTCAACGTCGAAAAACGGTCAACAATTATACGTCAATATAATAATAAACATATAATTGTATACAAAATTATAAAAAAAAAATTGTTATTATTCATAACAATCAACAAAAAAATACTACTTATTAAGCATTTAATACACTCATAATAATTCAAAGTATAATTTTGATCCTAAAAAATCTATAATGATATTTTTATTTGTATTTTACATTTATATTATAATTTGGCATGATTTTCATTCTTAAATAAATTTAATAATATATATTACATAGTTTTTCTTTTTAAGGTATTGAAAGTGCAATTTTATTGGTTTTTTATCATAAAACAGGCGGCTTTATATTAAAATTGAGAACGCATACAAGACAATCTTCAAACAGATTTTACAGATCCAATCGTGAACCCTGGAAGTAGACATAGAATCGGTCACCTCCAAAGCAACGGGCAAATTTAAGCCTAAAACGAACGGATCTGAAACCCTGCCTATCAAAACTCAAAAGAACTCGAAAAAACCAAACATTCAAACCAAATCTATTCGGACAAAGCAAAAACAAGTACTACTAAAGAGAAAATAATACTTAAATAAAATATTTCCACAAAACTCTTCCTGGTATGGAGGTGGTTCTAGAGGAGGACGAGCTCTTGCAATATGGGTGAATACCAACTCCAGCACCGCTGGAGCGGCCGACCAAGGCTTCACAATCCGGCACCGATACAAACTCTCAGTCGCAATCTGTTTATCTGTCAATGTTATCTCCTTCGACGTAGTTGCAATCCCAAACATTAGAACACTTGTAATCTCAATAATCTGCCACTCCAGTCCCACATTCATAGGGACGGCGGAAAATCTCAACCCCTACAAAGAGGGGAAACAGCCGCTAGGTTTTAAAAAATACATTAAAATTAAAAAAGAAATTACTTTTTTTGGAAAAACACCCAAAACCGGGTTTTCCCAGTTTGTTCGGCTTTCTTGGGTCTGGGTCCAGACCGGGTTTTCCTGGGTCAGCTGGGGTTTTCCGGGTTTGACCATTTCCGGGTTTTGAACAAACCAAACTGGATTTTTGTCTAGGTCACCCCGGTCGGGTCGGGTCGGTTTGTTAAACATACATTTGGGTTGTATTATTTATAAAAAGAAATATAGAGTACTACTTTTGATATTACAAATTACTCCCTTCACCCCCACAAAATAGTTCCCATTTTCATATTTGGGCCCACTGTCCCAAAAAATAGTTCTCGTTTCCTCTTTTGAAAAGTTTTGTGTGACTAGCATTTATCTACATATTTCTTACTCAAACACAGTCCTACATTTTCAGTTTATTCTCACTTTCCTAAACACCGATCCAAGTCAATTGAGAACTATTTTATAGGACGAAGGGAGTAACAATATAATTTCAAACTATTTAATTTCGAATCTATTTGGTAACATCGAAATTGGTTGAGTTAAATAAATTTGCTAAATCCAATGAAATTCTAATTGAAATAGTTGAATTGGCCGGTTTTACTAAATTGCAAAATAATTATATTTGAAAAATAAAAGTAGAAGGAAATAAATAAAAAATTATATGAAATAATTAAAATAGTTATTTATAGTAACTCATGCCAGAAAAATAACTACAATTTACTTATTTTGTTTATAATACATTTTAGTTTGCGAAATTAAAAATTATGTGTTTGATAAAGAATAAAAGCTAAGCTAAAAATGTGATACAAAAACGCTTAAAATATTGATTCAATTAATGGAGCTATATATCCTTCTGTTGTATAGATGAAAACAATGAGAAGAATAACAATCCGGAGGCATCCGATGAGATTTCAAAAGGCATCTACCTAATAATGATTTTTTATGAATTGATCGTCAATAAATATCAAGGTCAGTTATCGTCTCTTATTGGGAAAAAAATATGTGTGTAGCCATAAATAATTATATATTCTATATTGTTATTTCATGAGTAACAAATCATACTAGTCTAAAAATACTTATTCCAAGTGAAAATGAGACTATTAAAATTGTTAATAAAGAAGTATTATATAATATAATATACAATCTTGATTATATAGAACCTCATTTCATACATTGTACATTGTCCAGACTTCAAGTTATAAAATTTAATTTGTGTTGTGATTTTAACAATATCATGTTATCTTGGATTTTCATTATAAATCATACACCGTGCATGACGAAGGTGTCTTAACATCTCAATAGGTTGTAGGCTTTAGAAAAGCTTCTATTGGGCTGGTCTATAATTATGTAGCATGTGTTTTTTTAATGTATGAATATGAACTTAGTTTTCGATCTTAAAATGTTCATATTTTTACATCTTTTGATGTGTGGTACTAAATTGTTTTATATTCTTTAGAACACAACAAGCGGCTCAATATACCATGTTTTGGATATTGAAATTCATTCATTTGAATAACAAAGTACTCAAGAGATCTCAAATGAGAAGAGTACTAGAAGCGCGACTAAAAGAAGTGGTGATTAGTAAATTAATGTGTATTTTGCATGTATTGTATGTGTTTTAGTGCTACTTTTTCTCCCATTAATTTAATTACTATTATTCATGAAAATATGTATCTATGAATGTTTTAGTCACATAGAGATAATTTCCCCTTCTCAAATAAATGTGGTCATTGATTATGAAGAATATATAGAACCATTTCGAATTCAATATTCTCTCAAAAATTAATCCAAACATTTATTTGATCTAGAAAATCGATGCATTCTGATATTTCAGTATTAATGAATGTTTCCTATTTAGTTGATAAAACATAGTATTATTTTCAATGACTTATGTTAACTTTTGCGTCAAAGGTTGTACGTTTCAATGTCAAGGGTTACCAATCATGCAATTCTCAAAATCCTCATTCAAAATAATGGTGATAGTACGGGTGATGGAATTATAAATATCATCTAAAAAAGTTTCAGTCTTTAAGTTGGAGTCAATTGTATAAAACATATTATATTCTCATATGTGTGTGTGTGTACGCGTGTGCTTGTGTGTGTGTATCATGTGAGAGTAGGACATGTGCATAAAAGACCAAATGATGTATCGTTAGACGAGTTGAGAGTCCATGCGGAGAAGATGCAGGGAGGAGAGGAGATATGAAAAAGTCCCAACCTGGCACGAATTAGAGAAGTCAAGAGTGATGTTCTTTTTGTGTGTGTGCGTGTGTGTGAGTATATAATTCGATTCAAATGATGAAATGATCTTAGAAGAGGAATGATAATGAATCTGGGATGTTAGATTGCATTACGTGAAATTGAATGTGTATTGGGGTGAAAATAAAATGTGCATTGGGGTAGTCCAAACGTGCATGCCACGCGCCGTGAATGCGGCCACCAAACCCCATATCCTACGGACGGGGTGATCCATGGACTTGACTCTAGGAGGTTAGGACTCGTCGGTCCTAAACCATTCATTCACGAAGCCCACAACAAGTCTTTGGCTCGGCCCAGTGGGCTCGGCATAGGGGTCCATACGTGATGAGAGGTTCAAGGATTTGGCGGCTCCTCATCCACTGTTGGCGACCGGATCCAGAAACTCCAACCATTCGTTCGCGAAGCCCTCAGCAAGTCCTTGTCTCGGACCAGCGGGCTCAGCCAAGGGGTCCTTACTTGGTGAGAGGTTTGACGATTGGGTTGCTCCTCGACCACGGTCGACGAACGGATCTAAAAACCCCAACCATTCATTCGTGAAACCCTCAGCAAGTCATTGGCTCGGCCTAGCGGGTTTGGCCAAGGGGTCCTTACTTTGTGAGAGGTTCGCGGATTGGGCGGCTCCTCGTCCACGGTCAACGATCGAATCCGGAAACCCCAACCATTCGTTCGCGAAGCCCTCAGAAAGTCTTTGGCTTGGCCCAGTGGGATCGGCCAAGGGGTCCTTACTTGGTGAGAGATTCGAGGATTGGGCAGTTCCTCGTCCACAGACGTGGAAGATACACGTCTCACGGCTCTCGGCCATGATGGTTTTGTCTTGAGGCCCTCGGCCCCCGTGTGGAAGATGGTCGTCTCACTGCCCTCGGCCATGATGCTCGTCTTGAGTCCCTCAGCCTCTAGGTGGAAGATGCTCATCTCACGGCCCTCGGCCGTGATGATCATCTTGAGGCCCTCGGCCTCCGGGTGGAAGATGCTTGTCTCACGGCCCTCGGCCATGATGGTCGTCTTGAGGCCCTCGACCTCTGGGTAAAAGATTATCGGCCCTCAACCCTTGGATAAGATAACTGGCGATTCCGGCTAATTAAGTCATGATCGGCCTCGGCAAGTGATGATTGTCTCATGGCCCTCGACCGTGATACTCGTCTCCCAACCCTTGGCCTCTGGGTGAATGATGTTCGACCCTCGTCCCTTTTATAAGATAACTGGCGAGTCCGTCTAATTAAGTCTTGTTCGGCCTCAGCAAGTGATGTTCCTCTCACTATGACACTTTTCGTGAATGGAACCAAGGTTCATTCTGGGCATCATCTGTTATCGGTCGTCCTGATTATGATCTTTATCTACCAAGTGAACATAGTAACGCATCCAAATGGCCAGACAATATGTATGTGTACATACATTCTTTTTTTGTCGGCTTGGGGCTCTTCCGGGTGTGACCGTCGGCCTAGATGTATGAAGACCCTCGTCTAGTCACCTAGTTGTTAAATTAAAATGACGGTCAACTTATCACAAGAGTTTCGCTCGGCATAATTTAATTTCGCGACATTTTAATCCCTAGTAAATAATGGTGATATGCAACAATGCCAACAACACTATTTAATATATAAATATTAATTAAAAGTGAGTGGTGGAATACTTAGCTCTTCAATCAGGCTGAACATTGGAGTATT